ACAGTGCTTGTCAAAGCCAGTTCTGATTAATCTTCTTTGTCAGTGTATCCTTTGCCATTCCCTATCACTCCTCCCTGAGAGAGACTTCACCCTGCACCCCATTGTCTTTCATTTCACAAACTGTCTTTCATCTCACAAGTCTTAGGATGTCTATTACCTACTAATTTGTACTTCCCTTTCCCCTCCTTCCGAACAACTGTAAATTTCCAACAATGAATCTTTTTTAAAATATTTTTTCTATTTTATTTTGGTTTGCTTACAAAAATCATATACATTGTGTTTCACTTACATACATTCCTTCATTCATGTTGTGCTTCCTACAATCATCTCCATAGAATGTGTTTTATAAAACCAATTAACATTGAGCTTTGCCCACTATTACCCCATATTTTCAGGTCCCTACTGGGTCTTTCCTAATTCCTTCTCCCCCTCCCTCTGTCTACCAAACTCTGGCTACCCCATGATTTCCTCCTTTCCTAACCTCAGTCCACCTGCTGCCACCATTTCTTCCCCTTTGGACTTTTGTATACATCTTACTATTTATCTTTCCATTTGCACAAGAATGATCTAATATAGTATTTGTTCTATAATGTACTATAATATAGTATAGTATAGTAATATAGACTGAGGTAGGTCACTGAACATAATGGTTATATATATAGTATTGTGGTTTTTTTTTCTTAAATCACTGCTTCTGAGTACTGCTTACTATTCTGCTGTATGAATGTACCACAATTACTCAATCCATCTGCTTGCTGATGGATATTGGGCTGTTTCCATATTCTTGCTCTAACTCTGCTATGAACACTGGTGTACAAATTTCTATTTGTATCTCAGTTTTCTTTTCATTAGGGTATATTGTGGGATAGCTGGGTCATATGGAGTTTCTATGTTCAACTTTTTTAAGAAATGCCAAACTGCATTCCAGAGTGGTTGTACCATTTTACAATCCCACCAACAGTGCATGAGAGTTCCAATCTCTTCACATTCTCTCCAACATTTACTGCTGGCTGTCCTGCTAAACTTTGCCACTGCTACTGGAATGAGATAGTATCTCCTTGAGGTTTTGATTTGTCTCTCTCTCTCTCCTTTTTTTTTTTAATTTTTTTTATTTGCATCTCTCTTCTTTCCAGTGATGTTTCTACTGGCTATCCGAATGAACTTTCTTTTTTCCCTAAGGTGAAAGTATAGACAATGTTCTTAGAAAAAAATATGCTTCAGAGAGTGAAATAGGTCTTTGAAAGTAAAAAGGTGGAGAATGGCTCTTCCTGTGCATAAATTTTTCTTCAGGATTTTATAATAATGTTCTTATACAATATTTGTCCTTTGGGGATGAACTTATTTGACTCACAATAGTCATCTAAGTACATTTATGTTACATACAGTTTATAAAATTCTTTATTATTTTTCAGTATTGCAGAGTACTACAGTGTATGAATGTACTACTACTACAGTTTCTTTATCCATTCCTTTATTTGTGGACACACAGGTGGTTTCTATCTCTTTATTATTATAAATAATGCTGCAAAAAAATGCTGCAAAAAAGAGGGTTATGTGTATATCCATTTGTATGGCTGTTCTTATTTTTGGGGATATGAATATCGTAGCTAGACTGTTGCAAAACTGGAATTGCTACAAACAGTTTTCTGGAGAAGCATTAAAGTACTTTATATAACACTTGTACTAATTTATATTCCCAACAGCATATGAGAGTTCTAAAATCTACACCAGCATTTGTTCTTTGCTGTATTACTGAATATTGCTGGTTTTGCCAAGGTGAGATGGTATCTCATTACTATTTTGATTTG